AATCGTCTCTATATTCCTGGAGGGGCTTCCGTGGGGCCTGCCTGGTCTTGGGGCCCCCTTGGGCGGTCTTGGTACCGCATTTGGCCATTTCGAGAGCCCCTCTCGGGCGTCGGGTGAAAACTCTTTGGAGCTATGTTGGGGCCTCTCGGGGTCCTCTTGGGCCATTTTGATGCTCACTTGCGCTTTCCTGGGGGCCTCTTGGGGCTTCGCTGGGCTCTATGGCTCTCCCGTGGCCCCTGGAGGAATTACTTCTTAAGGGTATCAAGCACACTCTTTGCACGCTTGCTCGATCGCCGCATTGGCGGGGTGCTGGACGCACAACAAACCGCAGATCAAGTGGGTTTCTGGGAGAAGCGTTCTGTGGACGGCGCCTCTATTGCGTTCGAAGAAGTTTTTGGAATGGAGTATGCCGCTTTGGTGTTTGAGTCTGGACCTGTGCAAGGCGCTCGATCGCATTGAAGTCCAACCGTTGTTTGAGTCGCTGTAGAACCAAGGCGTGCGCGATGATTACATTGCCATGTTGTCCGTCATCTATGCGCGCCAGAGCGATCGAGCCCGTGGCTCTCGCCGCTTTGAGATTCAAAGAGGTGCCAAACAAGGAGACGTCCCGAGCTTGCTGCTCATCAATGCGGGAGTCGAAGCAGCGCTGCGTCTGTGGAAGGCCAGGGTGAGAGGGAATGGCGTTCGCGCTGATGATGAAGACCCCTCGGCAAACATCAGATACGCGGGCGACATCATGATTTTCGCTACCTCCCGCAGGGATCGCATTTTCATGGCCACAGCGCTCAACTAGGAGCTTGCGAAAGTAGGTCTCAGCCTGATCGCTGAAAAGACCAAGGCGCTTACGCCAGATGACAACAACGTGGCTTCACTTGACCTCGTAAGGGAGCCCGTGAAAGTCCCCAACGGCGACGTAGCCCATACACACTAGTGGAAGAAGTTTTGTGGAAATCTGTGTGTCCAGAGTTCTTACGACGTGGGCCACCGGATCCAGATTTGTTGGGTGAGGTTTCACCGACATCGTGACACATTGACGAGCAAAGAGTTGAGCACATACTCCCGAATGAAGTTTTTGTTCTCCTCTCTCTCTCTCTCTCTCTCTCTTTTTTTTCCAGCGCCGTGATAACGCCGACGGTCGTGCGCTATGACACGGGCGCGGCTGAGTTAATTGGACGCACTGCAACGGCGAATGCTTCGGAACATCGTTGTGTGGACCCGTCTCGCGGACGAGCCTTGGGAGGACACGACGCGAAGGATGCGATTGAAATTCGAGATTGCTTTGGCGAAGTTCTCAAGTGAAGACTGGAGGGTCCATTTGCTACCCCGGCGAGTCAGATTGGCTGTTCGAGTTGGCAATTTGGATGGCAGCTGGCCTGCAATATTATGTCGTAGGCACCCGCCGACAACATCTCCTGGTGTTGGGCGTGGGCGTGGACAACTCGCTATGAGATGGGGCGTCTATTTGAGCAGAGTTTCGTGCGAATTTTGTGTGACAGACAGGCCAGAGGCGCCATTGCATTATGATTTTCTTCAGCACGACGACGATTTCGTCCGTCTTTCCTTCGGGCACCAACAATAATGCTCGAGGTCTACCACAGTCGCGCCCGACTCCGGGCCGAGCATTGTCTTGATCGGACTGCCTGCCTGCCTGCGAGGGGATGATGAGATTCCGAAATCGTCAAACACTCCAGTAACTTTCGCTTTTCAGTGGTTGGGGGGCCTTTTCTGGGGGGTTCCGGAAGGGCAAATGCGCTGGCGCACGGATGATTGGCGCGATCGGATCTCTCAGGTTGAGCGGAAGTCTTTGCTTTGAATTTTGCAGTCGCACCATGCCTGAAATCAGTCATGGACAGTCCCGCGCGCAAAATTAAAAATGGCAGCCTCTCGGCCTTCTCTTTGGTGTCTGGGAAGCTTGTTGGGTTCCGTTTGGCGCCTCCTGGCGGGGGCTGTTGGGCGCCTGTGGGGGCAAGATTGGGACATTTTGGTCTGCCTTGATGGCCTTCCTGGGCCGTTTTGGGATTCGGGGGGGTTTTGGGTAACGTTCGGAAGCCGGCAGGGGGGCGCGGGCCCGCCCTCAGCCGCCTCGCGAGGGGGGGTCGCGCAGGTGGGCGAGGGCAGGATGCAGAGAGAACGTGCAGTCAAGTCGCACAACATGGATGAGCAACTCTCCGAAGCTACCCATGCACTCTTGCCCCTTCGGTTCATTTTTGGCGAGTTTCGCCGGAGAGCCCCGTTCGAAAACGCCAACATGGCCCTCCAAGGCTCTTGCATCCTTACCGCGCGCCCTCATTCTGCGATGTGACTGTCTGTGATTACGGCGGCCAGGTGGGGTGCACCGCGGAAATCGCGTGGAGTCTGGCGGGATCCAAAACAGTTTCGCGGACAGAAAATAGAAGGTATTCTTGCGGCCGGTTTTGGGAGTGAGTCGGGTCGGGTTTCTGGCGCATGGGCGGCTGGGGGTCCACGCGGGCGGCGGGCGGGCGGGCACGGGGAGGGGGGGCGGGGAACGAGGGGTAGTGCGTGTGTGTGTGTGTGTGTGTGTGTCTTCTGGATTTGGGTCGGGGAAGTGCGGGAAGGCTCTTGTGAATCCCACTAAAGGCGCTCCCTCGGCCTCAGACGCCAGAAGAGCATTCCCAACCATCCTGTGGTGTTGGGTCCTCATTTTGAAGAGACAGGGGCCCGCGTTCCCACCTTCCTCCCGCTGCCCCCTCCCTCCTCCCCCTTCTCCCTCTTCCCTGCGTTTCACCCACCTAGTACAGCGTTTCGTGGCCCCATAGGGTGCTCCGCCGAAGGCCCCAGTGGCAGGGTCCACGTGCAGTTCCACTTCCATTTCGGCGCACCTTTCACACGTTTCGTGGCCCCCATAGGGTGCTCCGCCCAGGCCCCAGTGGCAGGGTCCGCATGCAGTTCCACCTCCATTTCGGCGCGCCTTTCACACGTTTCGTGGCCAGTGGGGTGCTCCACCGACGGCCCCAGTGGCAGGGTCCGCATGCAGTTCTACCTCCATTTCGGCGCGCCTCTCACACGTTTCGTGGCCCTATAGGGTGCTCCGCCGAAGGCCCCAGTGGCAGGGTCCGCAGGCAGTTCCACCTCCATTTCGGCGCACCTCTCACACGTTTCGTGGCCCTATAGGGTGCTCCGCCGAAGGCCCCAGTTGCAGGGTCCGCATGCAGTTCCACCCCCATTTCGGCGCACCTCTCACTCGTTTCGTGGCCCCATAGGGTGCTCCGCCGAAGGCCCCAGTGGTAGGGTCCGCATGCAGTTCCACCTCCATTTCGGCGCACCCCTCACACGTTTCGTGGCCCCATAGGGTGCTCCGCCGAAGGCCCCAGTAGCAGGGTCCACATGCAGTTCCACCTCAATTTCGGCGCACCCCTCACACGTTTCGTGGCCCTATAGGGTGCTCCGCCGAAGGCCCCCCTGTGGCAGGGTCCGCATGCAGTTCCACCTCCATTTCGGCGCACCCCTCACATGTTTCGTGGCCCTATCTGGTGCTTCACCGAAGGCCCCCTGTGGCAGGGTCCGCATGCAGTTCCACCTCCATTTCGGCGCACCCCTCACACGTTTCGCGGCCCCATAGGGTGCTCCACCCGAGGCCTCAGTGGCAGGGTCCGCATGCAGTTCCACCTCTTCGGCGCGCCTCTCACACGTTTCGTGGCCCTATAGGGTGCTCCGCCGAAAGCCCCAGTGGCAGGGTCCGCATGCAGTGCCACTTCCACTTCGGCGCGCCTCTCACACGTTTCGTGGCCCTATAGGGTGCTCCGCCGCAGGCCCCAGTGGCAGGGTCCGCATGCAGTTCCACCTCCATTTCGGCGCACCCCTCACACGTTTCGTGGCCACCATAGGGTCCTCCGCCCAGGCCCCAGTGGCAGGGTCCGCATGCAGTTCTACCTCCATTTCGGCGCACCTCTCACACGTTTCGTGGCCAGTGGGGTGCTCCACCGAAGGCCCCAGTGGCAGGGTCCGCATGCAGTTCCACCTCCATTTCGGCGCACCCCTCACACGTTTCGTGGCCCCATAGGTGCTCCGCCGAAGGCCCCAGTGGCAGGGTCCACATGCAGTTCCACTTCCATTTCGGCGCACCTTTCACACGTTTCGTGGCCCTATAGGGTGCTCCGCCGAAGGCCCCAGTGGCAGGGTCCGCATGCAGTTCCACCTCAATTTCGGCGCACCCCTCACACGTTTCGTGGCCCCATCGGGTGCTCCACCGAAGGCCCCAGCGGCAGCGCCCGCATGCGGTTCCACCTCTATTTCGGTGCACCCCTCACACGTTTCGTGGCCCCATAGCGAGCTCCGCCGAAAGCCACAGTGCTGCGTTCGCATGCGGTTCCACCCCCCCATGTCGGCACACCCCTCACAAGTTTCGTGGCCCGATAGGGTGCTCCGCCGAAGGCCCCAGTGGCAGGGTCCGCATGCAGTTCCACCCCCCATTTCGGCGCACCCCTTGCACGTTCCGCGGCTCCATAGGGTGCTCCACTGACGGCTCTGGTGGCAGCGTCCGCATGGCGTACCCGTGCCAATTTTGGCACACCCGTCACACGCGTCGTGACCCCAGAGAGGTTCCCCGAGGTCGATACCCACAACTGCGTCACGCACAACTGCACATGGTTGGGTCCCTCGCCAGGATAATGTTTTCCAGCGGTCCCGCATCTAGATCCTCTCGGAAAGAGGTCCCTGCATATCCTTCTTACGATCGCCAAGAGTACCTACTGTCCGCTGGATTTGTTTTGGTAGTTCCCGCCGCCCCGACACTCAAAATTTCCTCAGGGTTCAGATTCGCAAAGTCGGCAGAGATCATACAGTAGGCACGTCAAATAAGAAGCCGGCCTGCCAGCAGGTGACCCGCGGAAGAAGTTTCGTATCCCACGGTGGCCCCAGGGAGCCACCTAAGCTCTGGGGCATCTTAGGACCTTCAATATGGGCGAATTGCGTGTCTCACGGTTTTATTACAGCAAGGTTTATTATCGCATGTGTCTACTGGGTGCTTCTGGGGCTCTCAGGTTCGTCTATTGCGTGATCGCTGTCTGTGGGTTCCTGTCCTTCCTGGGCACGATCTCACAGGACTTCCTCACGAACTACGAGCTGAACGACCCGCTTGTGGTGGCGTGCAGGTCTTTGCTGTCTCTGAGCCTGGTCTTCGCGTGCCCCATCAACATGTTTCCATCCATGCAGGCTCTGTTCAACATCCTTGAGGGCATGCGGACCACGAAGGCAACTGACGAGAACGACACGCTATATGCTCTCAACCACGTGCGCGTGCCCGTGTCCACCTGCTGCTTCGCGGTGGTCGTCGGGGTGGCGGCACGCACGCCTCACGTCGCCGACATGGTCTCGGCCATCTCGGTGTTCCTCTCTGCTCCGCTCATGTTCCTCTTCCCAGCCATGATGTACCGGACCATTCTGGGCCAGAAGGGCCCACTGGTCCCGGCGTTTCTCATACTGCTGACCTTCGCGCTCATCGCCGTAGAGCTCTGCAGGATGGCCACATGAGGAGGGCGCCGGCGCACCGATCACCGCACCCTCGAGAAGGGACAGAGCTCGACCTCGAGTGGAATCCAAGGGAGGGCCAGCGAATCCGCTGGTAAAGAAGGCCAGCGGGTCGTGCTTAGAAGTTGTGGATCAAGGGTGCCAGAAAGCAGCGCCGTGTGATTTTCCTCTTGTATCATAATTTGGCGGCGCATTGCCAAATATGGACCCGTCGTTCTGCTAGGCTCTCGATTTGATGTGATGTTTGAGCTCTCCGAGTCGTCAAGCCGTTGTGGCCTCCCCTCCTTTCCACAGCCGCCCCAATCACTGTCGGCATCTCTACTCTTCTTCCCAGCTCTGCCCTCGCTCTCCTCTGGTGCAGGGAAGGTTGGAGCAGGAGCAGCCTAGTGACCCTCGAGCGCACGCTGGGCGAGCGATCGCACACAAACGCACCAGCCGACGGAGCAGCCCCGGAGGCAGTTTCCCTCGATCTCGTCTGTGGCGCTGTCAAACTTGCCCCCGGGGGGCAGTCTCTATTTCCCCGATCTCCTAGGATGGGGTTCTCGTTACCAGTGTGATGGCTCTGCCTTCTCACTCGCACCCGCTCCTCCGTCTTGTTCCTCCGACTCACTCACACTCAGGCTCCGTGTTACGCAAGCAGACCCACTCACACCCATACTCAGACTCATGGCTTCCACACTCAGACTCGCTCTCTCTCAGACTCGCTCATATTCAAATCGTTCACAGTCATATACACTCATACTGAGCTTATTCACGCTCACTTGCACTCGAACTCTCTCACATTCAGACCCACTCAGGCAACGACCCCTGGCATCCAAACACATTTACACTCACGTGCACTCACTTCCAGATTCACTCTCGCTGAGACGCACTGACACTCAGATCCATTCACAGTCAGATTCGTTCAGACTCGCAGATTGTGAGGATGCCTTGAGCGAGGCGCTGGCTACAGCACTCTAAGGAGGAGCACCCCGGGGGGTTATCATTCCCAACCATACTGTGGTTTTGGGTCCTCGTTTTGAAGAGACGGTGCCCCGCGCTCCTCCTCCTCCTCCTCCTCCTCCTTCTCCTCCTCCTCCTCCTCCTCCTCCTCCTCCTCCTCCTCCTCCTCCTCCTCCTCCTCCTCCTCCTCCTCCTCCTCCTCCCCCCCTCCTCATGCCACCCACCTCACTTTGGCACACCCCTCACGTTTCGTGGCCCCGCAGAGAGCTCCACCGAAGGCCCCAGTGCCACCGTCCACATGCGTCCCCCACACCCATTTCGGCACACCCCTCACATGTTTGGGAGCTCCACCGAAGGCCCCAGTGCCACCGTCCACATGCGTCCGCCGTACCCATGTCGGCACCGCTCACAAGATTCGTTGCCCCATACGGAGCTCCACCGAATACGATATTCACAATTGCTGTACTCACATCTGCATATGGCTGGGCCCTTCGCCATGCTATCCTTTTTGCGTGGCCAGCATGTGGGGATGTCTCAGGCGGTGTGCTCGAATTGTGGCTTAGACTAGATCTCCTCTGCGAATCTCATGCCCGTCGCGACGTAGCTGGTTGGACACCCGTGGAGGAACCGCCAGAGGGGGTATGACAGATGGCCGTGTTCGGCCAGTTCGCAGACAGATTTGTTGGGGGCGTCTCGGGCGGCTTACCCGTTTGGTGGCCCAGGCCCCTCCTGTCCAGAGACCCTGGTGATCGCAGCGGTGCAGCAGCGTGGCACACGGGCACCCCTGGGAGGCAGGCGCCTTGGGTGTGTGCATGTCTCGCTTCGCGGCCAAGATTGTGGGGAGCTCCCAGGTGGTTCTCCTGCTTGCTTGTTCCCCGACTTCTTTCGGCTGGGGGTCCGATGCTCGTACCAGTACAGTCGGTGTAGCTCACTGCCACTTGAGCGCACTCGCACTCAGACCCACTCGCACCCAGACCACTCACACTTGTATGCGTTCATGTTCAGTTTAGTGTCAGACACTCTCACGCCCAGACTCACTCAACTATTCACACTCGTATTATGGGCCACTCATACTTAGACTACGCTCGCGCATATTCAGTCACGCTCGGACTCGCCCACACGAAGATCAGCTAGTATGCGACGTAGCAGGAATGGCATTTAGGCATCCCAGCGAGGAGCCGCTAGGAGTGCTTAAATCTTCTGGTTCGCGGCCAGATCGTGGGGGTGTCTCAAGCAGTTTGCCTGTTTGGTTGCTCCGACACCTGTCTTTTGAGGGCCGCATGATCACCACGACAAAGCCACCGTGGCAACTGGGCGCGCCAAGGAGGAGCCGCCATAAGGGGTATTTCATATCCCCACTCGCGCCTAGACTGTGGGGATGTCTTACGCGGCTTGCCTGGTTGGTGGCTCCGGCTTCTTTCTTTTTGGAGCTCCACTGCTCACCTCGGCATAGCAGGCGTGACACTTTGGGCCCCCCAAGGAGGGGCCGTCGGGGGGGTATTCGCGTCCAGATCGTAAGGATGTCTCAGGTCTGTTGAGACCGCCTCTTTTGAGAGCCTCATGATCACCATGGCCTCCATGGCCTCCTCCCTGCCCCGTGCGAATCTCTGCCTCCATCCGCCAAGGAGTGCTGTACTTGCGCACCCAATTTGTGGGGATGCCTTCAGCGGTTCGCCGGGGATGGTACCCCCGACTCCTCTCCGCTTAGAGCCTCGTGATCACTGCGGCAGAGTTCCATTCTGGTCGCGGTGTAGCTAGCATGGCACGTGGGCGCCCCAACGGGGAGCCGCCCAGGAAGCGATCAGTCGCCACAGGTTCTGATTCTTTGACTCAGGCACTGACAGAGGGAAGCGCCAGGCACTGAGATGCACATATGGAGATCTCCGCGTCGAACCCTTTCAGTCCGTTGTTCCCGTCGCGTGCTGCTGTGGCAGCCGCCGCTGCGACCCCGCCGCGTGCCGCTTCCCAGGTGACTACTGCAGCGTCTCCCGCGGCTGCCACCGCCTTGCTGGCGGCCATCGCTGCCGCCGCGGCCGCTGCAGCCTCGCCGGCCACGCAGCCCAAACTTGCGTGGCGGACCCGGCCGTAGATGATGCCGTGGCTCCAGCGGCGGCCCTTCGGCTGGCCAGCACTGCCGCGGGCGGGGCCCCAACTGCGCGACCTGCCGCGCTCCAGGACTACAAGCGGTGGAACTGGTGGTCCGAGAACGACTACAGGGAGGAGAGGTCTGGCTTCCTCTTCGTCATGGGCCGCGCCCTCCGCGCTGCCTGACTTGACGGGGGCTGAGCGCCGCCGACCGTGCCGTCCCAATCTTGTTCGGATGCAACTCATGGGAGGTCAAATTTTGGTTTTGCCCTGGTCCGAAGTCCGGCTTAATCCCGCTTGATCCGGCCTAATCCCGTTTAGTCCCGCTTCATGCGGCTTAATCCTGCTCAGTCCGAGACCCACTCCGGCGTAACAGCTCCCAAATGGGGCTTGATCCTCCTTATTTCTTTCCGACGAAAACCTCCCAGTAGTTGCCTCCTGACTCGACGGGGGTTGAGCGCCGTCGACCGTGCCGTCCCCTCTTGCCCTCGTGCTCACTTGCTCGCGTTCTCCCCGTTTGCCCAGGGGTGCCCTCGCCGCCGCGGCCAGGTCCGGCTGGAGGCGCTGGCCAGCGGCCGCGCCTCGGAGGGGGTCGGGGGGGCCGAGTTTCGAGGGGTCGTTCTGGGGGTGGGTAGCAGGATGAGTTCTACTGCCACGCCCGCTGGTTCGGATGCAACTCCTGGGAGGTCAATTTCTGGTTTTGCCCTGGTCCGAAATCCCTTTTAATCCGGCTTAATCCCGCATAATCCGGCTTCATCCCGTTTGATCCCGCTTAATCCTGCTGTGTCCGAGACCCACTGCGGCGTAACAGCTCCCAATTTGGGCTTCATCCTCCTCAGTCTTTCCGACGGAAACCTCCTAGTAGTTGCCCCCTGACACCCGCTGGAGGGAGTGGTGGAGATTCTGCCGGGGGCGGAGGCGCCCCCGACTTGTGGCTTCTGGCTGGCAGCGTGCGCGCCGCTCACGGCGCCTGTCTCGCCCCTCGCCCCGTCCCCTTTGTGCGTTCTCGCTGCCCCTCCGTGCCTCTCCTCGTCGCACTGCGCCGCCTCCTTGCTTCGCGCTTCCCGTTTGCGAGGCTCCCCTTCTGATGCTCCAACCTACTGTAGCCTTGTTCGCCAGGAAGACTTTCGAGCGCCCCCCCAAAAGTACCGACACTCAAGGGTTTTCACGTGTCGGGCCCTGGGAGACACTCGCCTGACACTGTTTTGACACGTTTTTGACACGTTTTTTGTTGACGTGTTTGACACGTTTTTTGACACGTTTTCTGGGATGCGGCCCTTACGTAGGATGGTAACAACATAAGGCTACCCTTGCATCCTTGCCCCTTCGGCCCATCCTTGACGACTTTCGCTGGCCAGCCCCGGTCTAAAACGCCAACATGTTTTGGGCCCTCTTGGGGCTGTCTTGAGGGCCTCCTGGGTCCCTCTTGGGAGCTTTTGGGCCGTTTTTGATTGATTTGGGGCGCCTCATGGGCCGTGTGGGCTTCTCTGAAAACCAAAAGGTGATAATTCCCAAACCATTCCCAAACAGTTTTTTTCATATATACATATATACATATATATATATATATATATATATATATATATAATGTATACACATCTATACATATATATATATATATATATATTTATATGGGTATCTATAAAACATGTGGCCTCCTGGGCCACCCTCTAGGGCTTATCAGGCGGCCCAGGAGGCGCCCAAGAGGGCTCCAGGACGGTCCTCGGGGCTATCTTCGACCATGTTGGACATGCATGTCCTGACAGACGCGCTCTGGACCTCTCAAGAAGTCACGCGGGTTCCCCGGGTGGCGCCCGGGAGCGCGCAAGAGCGCCCAAGAGCGCCCGGGAGCGCCCCGAACTCTGGGCTGTGGGCCTCTCAGCAAATTGTGCAAATCCTAATTCAGAGAATTCGCAGGCTCCTGAGGACACTCTAACTCGTGCCTCAGGTCACGTTGGCGGATTTCGTGTTACAGAGCATTTCAACCTGAGCGTGTGGTGGCGTCTGTATTGAAGCACTGCTGCAAAAACAAGGGGCGCCAGAGCAATGGCGGAGTGCTTCGTGTCTTGCTGACCGTGCGACCATGCTCGTGCACTCGTGCGACCATGCCCGCGATGCCATCGACATTTTGTTTGTGCGACCATGCCCACCTGGGCTGCTGAAATTGTGCAACAGTGCCCCCTTGGCCTTCTTCGCCTGGCCCCCTCGCAGGCCCTTCTCCTGCCCCCTTCGCCTCGATGCCCCTGCCCGGCCTCTCTTGCCTGGCCACCTCCCTGGCACTTCCGCCGCCCTTATGTCTTTCGAGGCTGCATCACTCTATCAGTGCACACGTGCGCCACTCGCTCTCCCGGGCGCATCGGCCAGCGCCGCACTCACCAGGACATGTCCTGAGACCTCTTGGCCCGCCACGTCAGGGGCTCCGTTCTGGGACCCCGCCGCGCCAGGCAGCACCAACCACGAGCTGCGCAGTGGAGACAGCCGCCAGGCCGCGGGGCCCGCGTGCGCCCTTCTTCCCCACTCGCTGGGGGCAGGGCCGGGGGCCAGGAGGATGTCCACTACGTGATGTTATTGGTAAGTCCTTACACGGCTGGTGCCGCCGACCCTGCGGCGGCGAGTGCGACGGCGACGCTGACGTTCTGGCTCCCTTCTCGGGTCTCTCTTGAGAGCCTCTGTGGCGTGTTTCTTTATTGCTTGGGGCATGACGGGCGTTCTAGCCCGGGCCCCCATCCCTATGACGCAACGCCCCCACCCCCCAGTGCGTTCTGGGCACTGCCGCCGTGCGCATCGGGATCCGCATAGGCGTCCGCATAGGAATCCGCATAGGGGTCTGGTCCGTCGTCGTCGTCGTCGTCGTCGTCGTCGTCGTCGTCGTCATCATTGTCGTCGTCATCATTGTCGTCGCCGTCGTCGTTGTCGTCGTCGTCGTCGTCGTCGTTGTCGTCGTCGTCGCCGTCCTCGTGTGCTCGCCGCTCGCCGCTCGTCGCTCGTCGCTCATCGTTGTCGTGCGCACGGGCGCGGCTGGAGCCTGTTTTTTACTTCTGGGCTGATGACGGCCGTCATTTTGGGGGGAGGGTTCGGGGTCGACGACGTCACGTTTCGCGCCGGCGGCGTTAGGGAATGCCCAGGAATGACCGAGGACAGGTAGCAGCAGCATGTAGGAGGCGATCCGCGCCATAGCGCTGGTGTACACCACACTGGCTTGCGTGCACCACAACGCCTGTGTATACCATGCCACCTATGTACGCCGCAGCAGCCGCGTGCAACACAGGCGCCAGTGTGTGCCACAGTGCCCGCGGGCACCACAGCGCTTGTTTACACCACAGCGCCTGCGTACACCACATCTGCCGTGTGCGACGCAGCACCAGTGTACACCGCAATGTCTGCGTGCACTATACACTATTGTGCCTGTGTGCACCAGAGCATCCATTTGCAACAGAGCATTACTGTTGCATATAGAATTCGATTAGGAATCCATGTGACAAAATGGAGCGCCTGTGGATTCCACAGAAAATATTATTTTCATATCGGATTTGGAAACGGAGCGCCGCTGGAATCTACGAGTCTTCCGGAACGATCATCCTCACTCTTCCCATTTGTGTCCAGGAAGCTCCAGCAGAATTGGCCGTCCGAGAACCAAGTGTATGTATGGATTAAATCGACCATTCCGCGGGGCACGCTGAGATGCGCACGTGCGTTGTAGCGCCGACCTGCGCGACAGGAGGGAAAGACGAGGGAGGGGGAGGAGGAGGAAGCATAATAATAATGCCAAGAAGAAGAACCGTATTAATTTGACGAACAAGAATATTACACAAAAACATAATAAAGCGCATACTAGTACGAGTACGAAGAATACGCGTACCAAGCACAATACGACGAAACAAGCGAAGCATACGACTAAGACTCATAATAATACCACTCTTGGTACTGATGCGATTCATAATCTAGTACACAAAATCTAATTACGGAGATAAGCAAGAACAGTACTATTAATAATAAGACCAAGACGACGAATCCGAATGAGAACAAGATCAATGATACGAATACTACTAATAAGAATAATAACCATCATACTACTAATACCAATACGAATGATACGAATGGTACTAATAGTAACCTATACGACCACCCTTCGAGTGATAAGGAGGTGGTGGGGGGAAGAGGGGGGAACCAACATTTGACTCAATCGATCTCACTATCGATCTCACTCACCAGGACACCACGGGACACCACGGGACACCACGGGACACCACGGGACACCACGAGGCACATGTCGATCTCATTATCGATCTCACAATCGATCTCACTCAACGGGGCACCACGGGCAACCACTGGCCACCACGGGACACCGCGGGACTCACTATCGGTCTCACTATCGATCTCACGATCGGTCTCACTCAGCGGGACACCGTCGGACACCGAGGGACACCACGGGACACCTCGGGACACTTCGGGACACCACATCGATCTCATTATCGATCTCATTATCGATATCACTATCGATCTCACTATCGATCTCACTCAGCGGGACGCCACGGGACGCCACGGGACACTACGGGACACCGCGGGACACCGAGGGACACCGCCGGACGGACGGACGGAGGACACACATTTGTGTCGACTTAGCCCTCGCAGCGGCGGGTTCATTCCTCTCGCGCGCCCACGCAGCTTCGCCTCGCCCGCACGCACGACACGAACGAAACGAAACGATGTCCCGTATGGGTGTCTCCGCTGCATTGCGATCTCACCACTCAGCCTCCGATAGTCAGGATGAGACTAAGAAACTATTAACAATAACACTACCAGCAAGAAGACTAAGACCAATATGAATACTAACAGTACTATTCACATTATGACTAGTACGAATACTATTATTCATATCAATATTACGAAGAGGAAGAAGAAGAGGAGAAATACAAGGAGGAGAAGGAGTATGAGGAGAAGGAGGAGGAGGAGGAGGAGGAGGAGGATAATCTGATGACGGGGAGGAGGCGGAGGAGGAGGATGATGAGGAGGAGGGGGAGGATGAGGCGGAGGAGGAGGAGGAGGAGGAGAATGAGCAAAAGGAGGAGGAGGAAGGGGAGGAGGAGGAGGTGGAGGAGGAGGAGGGAGGGAATAACGTCCCGTTCTATCATCAGTACTTCATGGCGTGTCGTTTAGCTGTCCACAGCAGATTCTCACCTACATGCTCATTCTATCTGTCCTGTGGTGTACACCAGCGCTGCGTTGCACGCGGATGCTGTGGTGTAGCCAGGCGCTGCGGTGTGCACAAGCGCTGCGGTGCACACAAGCATCGTGGTGTACACAGGCGCTGTGTTGCACATGGTTGTTGCGGAGTGTACATTCGGTGTGGTGAACACCCGCGTTGTGGTTCACGCAAGCACTGTGGTGTACACAGGGCTGCGTTACACACGGCTATTGCGGTGTACGCGGGCGCAGTGGTGTACACGCGCGCTGTGGTGCATGCGAGCATTGTGGTGTACAAAGGCTCTGTGGGGCAGATCGCCACCTACATGCTGTCCTACTTGGCTTCGTTCATCCCTAGGCATTCCTGGACGCCGCTGGCGCGGAACGTGACGTCATCTCTGGGGGGGGGGGGCGGGGCCGATGACGGCCGCCATCCCAGAAAATTAATGAACAACAAGTTCTTGTGGTGCCGAAGCCAGGGGGCGTTACGTTATACCCCCCCCCGCCCCCCCCCCCTCTTATGACGCACGTTCTCGCCTAAGATGAAGAAGCGCGCTGGTTCAGCTGGGGGGGCGTCTCTTGGGGGACTTCTTGGGAAACTGTCCGCTGTACTGTGTTGTTTTTGTCCGTCACCTGGTAGCAAACCCTTGTGCGCGTTGTGCGCCAGCACTCTTCGCTCCGACACTTTACCTGTACGCAGAGTACCTTATTCACGCGAGGTTCCTACATGGGGCTGTCGTGGCCCTCGGCCCTTCTTGATGTGGGGCGCAAAGCGGAGGGGCGCCGACCCCGCCCGCCCCCTGCTGTGGAGGGCGCGGGCTTGGAGTCGGCCGAGGGTCTGAGGTGGCCCAGCGTTGGTTCCAGCGCGCAGGCAGGGAGGGGGCGAGGGCCGAAGTTCTGGGTTCGGGCATTTTTTTTAAATAGTAATACACATATTGCTTTGATGTTTGTTGGTCCCCGGGGGCCGGTTTCGGGCCCCGGGACTGTCATACATCAATCTGGGGTGAACAACTGCACGAGATGGACCCCAACAGAGGTGCGGGGGCAGATGTGAGCGGATTGGTTTCAACACCCTTCTTTCGACTGATTTTTTTGGGCTCCGACCAGTTCAGACCCCAAGCCACTTCCAATTTTGGACCATGCTTCCCATCGCATGTGGCTACTCGTAGTCGTAGTCGAAGTAGTCGCCGTAGAAACGGTCGTAGTATCCGTCGTAGTCGTAGTAGTAGTAGTAGTAGTAGTAGTAGTAGTAGTAGTAGTAGTAGCAGTAGTAGTAGTAGTAGTAGTAGTAGTAGTCGCCGTCGTCGCCGTCGTCGTCCTCGTCGTCGTCGTCGTCGTCGCCGTCGTAGTAGTAGTAGTAGTAGAACTAGTAGTAGCAGTAGTAGTAGTAGTAGTAGTAGTAATAGTAGTAGTCGTAGTCGTAGTAGTCGTAGTCGTAGTATATGTAGCAGTAGTAGTAGTAGTAGTAGTAGTAGTAGTAGTAGTAGTAGTAGTAGTAATAGTAGTAGTAGTAGTAGTAGTAGTCGTTGTGGTAGTGGTAGTAGTCGTAGTCGTAGGAGTAGTAGTAGTAGTAGTAGTAGTAGTAGTAGTAGTAGTAGTAGTAGTAGTAGTAGTAGTAGTAGTAGTAGTACTAGTAGTCGTAGTAGTAGTCGTAGTAGTAGTGGTAGTAGTAGTAGTAGTAGTAGTAGTAGTAGTAGTAGTAGTAGTCGTAGTCGTAGTAGTAGTAGTAGGTGTAGCAGCAGTAGTCGTAGTAATAGTAAACGTGGTGGTCGTAGTAGTAGTCGTCGTAATCGTAGTAGTCGTAGTCGTAATAGTAGTAATCGTAGTAGTAGTAGTAGTAGTAGTAGTAGTAGTAGTAGTAGTAGCAGTAGTAGTAGTAGTAGTAGTAGTAGTAGTAGTAGTAGTAGTAGTAGTAGTAGTCGTATCGTAGTAGTAGTAGTAGTAGTAGTAGTAGTAGTAGTAGTAGTCAGTAGTAGTAGTAGTAGTAGTAGTAGTAGTAGTAGTAGTAGTAGTAGTAGTAGTAGTAGCCGTAGTAGTAGTAGTAGTTGTAGTAGTAGTAGTAGTAGTAGTAGTAGTAGTAGTTGTAGCCGTAGTAGTAGCCGTAGTAGCCGTAGTAGTAGTAGTTGTATTCGAGGTGGCCGTGGTAGTCGTAGCCGTAGTAGTAGTAGTAGTAGTGGTGGCGTCGTAGACGTAGTAGTCGCAGTAGTTGTGGTAGTAGAAGTAATCGTAGTAGAAGCAGTAGTAGTAGTAGTAGTAGTAGTAGTAGTAGCAGCAGCTGTAGCACCGTAGGAGTTGTCGCAG